AGGGAAGTGGGAACAGCGAATCCCAATAGGATGGGGGTGGGGCTGACACCGGTGGTTGGGCCATATGGCCACCTGGCTTCCAGAAATGGCGGCCGGGGGCTAGAGCCTAGGATGGTGTCAGGGTGTAGATGACCCATAGATGAGACTGTGCCATTTTACTAACAAGAATGAGAACCAACTAGCTCTCAGGTCTGCCTGGAAAGTTAGGAATGCCATCTCTGGAGGGTGTTGGTGAAGGACCCAGACAAGGTAAGGAGTAATCATCTGCATGAGATGGAGATGCCAGGTGCTATTCTAGTGACAGGGGCAAGATTGTGGTGAATTTGGGGGAACTGTGAGCATCTGAGCTTGGTTGGACCTAGAAGAAGGGAGAATGGCAGAGGGTTGTAAAGAGACTTTTACACCACGTATTGAATTTGAATTTGATCATGAGCCACTGGAAAATCTAGAGGGAGGCAGATCAGAGGTGTATTTGCAGGCTAGAAGCTGCTGTGCAGAAAATGGAAAGGGGTAGGGCAGCGAGAGCTGAGGATGGGAGAGGCCTTTTAGGAGAGTGTTGTCCTGCTCAGGTGAGGAGTGATAATGTTCTGAATCAAGATCCCAATGGGGAAGGGGAAGGGAAGTTGTCCTGTGGACCATAAGGTATGTAGTAGGTAAATGTGGTTATGTTCAGTGATTCCTGTGAAGGGTAAAGGTGAACTAAATGTGCATATGTGTTGTGTGAAGTGAAGAATACCACTTCCAGTGCCTTCATTGGGAAGAGATCCCTCTTTCTTTAATGCATGGTTCCTTGGCTACAAATGTGTGACAGACATATCCAACAACCTGTGTACTAACTCAGTCTTGATTCCTGAAAAAACCCTAGCAAGTGTCCATCTCCATTTAACTATTGGAGAACTGAGCATCTTGGCTTATAGAAGAAGAGCATTGGCCATGTATGAATATTGCGCTTTTTTCTCTTGGGTACAATCTCTATTTTTATTGAACAACTGTCAGTAGGCCATGCAGCATTGCCAACAACACACTGAAAATAGAATGAAGCCAATTACCTCAGCAAAGATTAACGCAGAAAGTAAAATTGCACTTATGTAATACTCATCTTCCAGGCGCTGAGACCAGCTTTGGCTTGCTTTCTCTGTATCTGTGTCAGTACCTTAACAGAACACCACCACCCATGCCTATGGTGGAAACTCCCCCTGGATTCCATCCCTTTTCCTGCATTCTCTAAACCTCTAATCAGAGCAGACACCACAGCCTTGAATGGCTCCTGGTGATGATTTCCCAGCAAGACACTGCAGACAGATGAAAGATAATATTAGCTAACAACATATCAGCACTCCTCTGGTGTTTGGCAACTACTTGTCAGTAAACTTCAAGAAAATGCTTGTATTTCAGAGCATGTCAGACCTGAGCGGAACTTCAGAGATGAGTTAGACCAACTGTCTTATTTTACAGAAGAAAACAGTGAAAGCTGGGGGATTAGTTATCTCATCTGTTACTTCCTTTTGCCCTTAAGTTTAGAAAAAGGACTGAAAACCCAGCCTCCACTCTAGCAAGGGCATGTCCCCCACGCCCTTGGCTTCTTACAAAGAAATGGAGATGATAGGGAAAGCTTCCTTGTCAAATCCCTGAAACACCCCCAGTGGGTGGAGAAAAGCTTCACATAAAAGAAGAAAAGCAACCCCATAATTAGATACAGAACTGACTCCAGACCAACAAACAGAAATTTGTGTTGGCTTCCCTAAGTGCTACAAGGGGGAAGGAAACCCTGCATCAGCAACTTGAGGCTTCCATGTGGGTCTGGTGGAACAGAATCATTTTCATAAAACACCAATAATAATGATAACAGCTGCAGGGTGTGGGGGAAGGAACAAGAACAAATAATTGCTAAGGAGGACCACTTTGGCACCAATTATTAATGTCACTCTGATTTTCCCTGCTTTGGACCTCTGGCATTGCACACTGGGCAGGCACATTACAACTATTAAATTGTAGTAATATAAATTAGTAATATAAATACTAACCCCATGGCTGGAACTTTGATCCCATCTTCTCAGGCCAAATTTTACATCTTGAAAAGTAATGGGAAGATGTGAAGGATAATGATCTTAGGAAGAATAGGAATATCCTTGACACAGAAATGGTGCCCTGTATATCAGGGTCCCTATTTTAGTTAGAAAAATAGAGCAAGGAAGAGAGGAGAGAGAGACAGAAACAGACAATAGGCAAGATATAGTGGTGTCATATACATCATCTGAACTGATTCTTAGAAGCACTGTATACGATTAATAGTTTATATTTACAGAGAAATTACAGACCATATAGGGTTCTCATTCATCTTTTACCAACTTCTCCTTGTATTAACACTTTGCATAGGCCTAACATAGCAGCTCCCACCCCCACTTATGTATAGTAAATTTTAAAACAATCACAGATCATTAAAGCTATTTAAGAGCTTTATTAGAATGCAAATCACATACCATACAATTCATTTATTTAAAATTTATATTTCAACAATTTTTAGTATACTCACAGATATGGACAACCATCATTTCAGTTGATTTTAGAACATTTTTCATCACTGCAAAAGGAAATCCCACACACTTTGGCTATCACTCCTTTTTCCCTCCCCAACCCACACCCCAGCTCTAGGCAACCGCTGATCTAGTTTCTGTCTGTATATTTCCTGTCCTGGATGTTTCATATGAATAGAATCATGCAATGTGTGTCCTTTTGTTCCTGGTTTCCTTCACTAACAATGTTTTCAAGGTCCATTCATATCATTGCATATATTAACACTTTATTCCTTTTCAAGGCCAAATAACATTCTGTTGTATAGATATAGATACAAATGGATTTTGTCAGTCCATTTGTCAGTTGATAGGCAACTGGGTTGCTTCTGCTTTTTGACTGTATTGAAGTTTGTGTACTAATTTTGATGGAGATAAAAATGCCTAATGTATTACTAAAAAGCTTACTAGGAAATATGATTTTTAGATCTGTAAAGATCCAGAAATGTCCTAATGCATCACTCCCAAGTTGAAGTGATTTGTCAACAAGATCTTCCCAGGAGGAAAAACCCTTAAGAACAGGGCAGAGGGCAAAACAAATACGTGTGTACTATGAACTTGCTATATCCAAAAAAGAAGAATGTGAAGGAAAATGCTCAGTTTCTTTTCTTAAACTCATTGGTCAGATAGTTTGACTCTTGTATGAGTCAGGAGTGAACGGGCCAGAGAGATGCCTTAATCTGGATTATTCCAGAAGCAGACCCTTACAATAAGAGTGTGAATTAAAGTAGTGTATTTGAAGATTCTAAGAGATGTTTATGGAAGTGAGACATGGAAAGTAAAAAAGCTAAAAAAGTATCGATTTTGAGCCAATTAATTTTGTGGGTTTTTAGCAGTCATGCGTATGGGCACTGGTTTAAGACCTGGCTGCTCTGCTTCCAATCTAGCTCCCTGCTAATGTGCCTGTAAAACACTAGAAGATGGTCTGAGTGCTTGCGCCCCTGCACCCACATGAGCGACATAGAAGAAGCTTCCTGGTTTCAGACCAGCCCAGCCCTGGCTGTTGTGGCCATTTGGGGAGTGAACCAGTGGATGGAAGATTCTCTCTCTCTCTCTCTCTCTCTCTCTCTCTCTCTCTCTCTGGATGTGTGTGTATTTGTCTATGTCTGTGTGTGCGTTTCTCCCTCTCTCTAACTTTCAATCATATTGAGGTCTTCTGGAAGACAGTGTAAAACATTCCTTAGAGGCATAGCAAAGGAAGAGTAGTGTGTGAGATACTTATCCCTCAGTTTCCATGCCTAGCACTTCTTGGATACTCCTCAAAGGAGTAGCAGGTGCCTACAGTTAAAAGCTATGAGGTTGAAAATGGTAATATCAAAGGGATGTAGTGGGACACCAAGAGCTAAAGGCATCATGGTGTTATGAAGTTCCCTTATGGAAAGGTATTGAGCGTCCATCTTGATAATGAGAGTTTTCCAAGGGGACCATGTCTCTGAATCCAACAGGCAGTCCCATAGACCTCACTTGTTTGTCCATAAAATGGGGACTGAGTCTGTTTTCATTAAATCCTGAAACTGGAATCATATGTGAAACAAAATACCAGTCCAATTATACTTCTTCTGCTTACTGCCCCAGAAGAAATGTTTGCCATCTAGATAAATATTACACGTGATTATGGTGCTGTAGAGAAAAGTACACATGTTGGAGACAGATTATCCTAGGTTCAAATCCTGGCCTCAACATATGAAACCTGTTTCTCTCAAATTGCTTAACCTACTAAAGCAAGTCTTCTCAATCCATAGATGCTTTTCATTTCCATTCCAAGGTCTGGTAAGAAATTAACTGACATTTTTGGTACTTTATCATAATGGATGCATAATAGTATCAGTTTAAAAAATAATGGCATTTTTCATATTTCTACAGGAAATAAGGAAGAAGTATGAGAAATATATACATTAACTCATTGAATAAATTAAGTTCCTCCTGTGAGAGGGGTTCTATTTCAGTTGCCATGAGAAGAGTGGCAAAAGACCCAAAGCTCTGCCTTCTTGAAACTTATATTCTTGTAAATCACAAAGTCTGGGATTATGTTTTTACTTTTAAGGTCCTATTTTTTATTATATGGAAAGATGGTTTCAATATTATTTTTCACTGGGTTTTTAACCTCAAAAATTGTAAGCCTCATATCAAAGCATCCCCAAGTTCTCTCTCTCCAAGCTTTCATCAAACATTTTCTGAGAGGCATTTCTCAAATCTTTCTTCAGTGTAGTGTTAGTTGGAGTTCTCTTGGTCCCAAGTGACAGAAATCAAATTTGAACTACTTTAAACAAAAAGGATAACTTACCAAAATGAAAAGATGGATAAAAATCTGTGGAAAAGCAGAATAGAGACAGAGCTGGACCTCCAAATAACAGGACCAGGGACGCAGAGCCTACAGAGAATCACTGTGTGTTTCTGTCATCATCACAATATGGCAGCTTTATCACTTACATGGCAGTGTGGCTTCCTCCAATTATAGAAAATATACCTGCTCCAGATTCCGCCAATTTACATCTTGCAGGTTTGGCAGCCAGAGAGGCTAACACAATCTTCCCAATTTTCTTGTATAAAATTCCTGGGGAAGAGAGACACATAATTTCAGCCTGGGACAGGGCTTCTATATTAGATCCTGTAGCTTTGTAGTTACATGGTAGTAATTACATAGTTAGAGCACTCCTAGAATCCTGTAGACAGCTATACTATTTATTAAGACACAGAAACCCCAAAGGCTGATTCTCATGTGATGGTCATCTTTCCAGCAACAAGAAGGTCTAAAGAGCAGCTCCAAAGGCTGGAGAACTGAACAAACAGCAGAGTCAGAAGAAGCTTTGTCTTACTCAGTCCACACAAGGTGTCCATTAGTAAAAAGGAGCCAACAATGCACTACTTTCTGCAAATTTGTCCAGTATATTCAAAACAACCACATTAAAAAGGGATTACTCAATATTTATGTGCCAAGGAAGTAATAATAATGTCTTTATTAAATATATGAATGTTCTTGAGAGCTTCTAAAGTGCTATGGAACTTCAAAATATTTTCCAGTTTCAGAGAATTAATTAGCTCCCCTGTGGAGTAGCTCACAAGCAATCTTGCCATTTTGGAGATGGAATGATTGAGTTGGAGAGGCAAGAGGTGTTGAATTATTCATCTTTTCAATAAGTAAGTATCAAGTATATACTCCATGCATGGCTCTGTGCTGAGGGCCATGAAGACATAAACTGGGAGAAGTGTCTGTTCTCAAGGAACTTACAGTCTAATACTACAACAGGCAGATTTGTCAAATGCTAGCCCTACTACCAATCAAAACTCAGGGCCCAAATGAGACAGAGAAACATGAGAAGCTAGAGGAAGTGATGGGATACAACTGGGAAGACAGGTGAACTGCCTAGGTTTTTGAAAACCATGGTCAGGAATTTGGTCTCATTATGTGGATTCAACATTAAAATTTAAAACATATATATATATAAGAAATTATTACTAAGCCATTTAATTGACTAGTCCTCCAATTCTTGATGAAATTATCCCAATAAATGGAAGAAAAAATGATCTATTTGCCTAAGTCATCCAAATGATCAGCAGTTCACTTTGCCCGATGTGTTCTGGATTCAAATTTATATCAAATGAAGACCAGCTCAACTTGTATAATTGACAATGCAAGTCATTCAGGTTTCATTCTCCAGGCAAGAGTGATCCTTACTGGGACTTTCTTTGTGACCCCAATAGCATGCAGTGAGGATGTCATATGAAGACCTGTGGAGAAGTATACATAGAGAAAAGTCAAAGTCCCAACCTTCAGCTCCTACCAAGAACTTAGCCAACAGCCAGCAAATAGCCTGCCAGACAAAAGAACGGGACATGTAGCATGGGGATTTTCCTGTTCTTCTTCAAGGGACTCCAGTGTGACTTGTGTGTGGCCAAGGTAAGTCTTCCTCCGTGAACCTCATCCAAATTCCAGATTCAGATTAAATAAACGACTCTCGTTATTTTAAGCCAAAAGGCTTTAGGATAGTTTGTGGTTAACTGGAATACCTTCCACAAAGAGTTCTTGATAACAGTATCTTCATGCCATGAGCCCATGAAATTCATTAGATAGCAGGATTTCAGGTTCTGCATTCATATTTCAAGAACTCAATTCATGTGCTCAAGGAATATGTTCCTATCCTTGTAGAGAGTTCCAGGGGGGAATACGATTCAACATTTAAGGAATTTCCTTACATGAAGAATGTTCTGGAACTTATCGATTTTAACAATGTACTCCAGTTTCTAAAGAAAATTAAAGTGAAAAAAATCAATAACCTATGTTCACCTTTATATTTCTATAACATTTTTAGTATACACAGAGAACATTTATGAAAGATCTCCCTCCAACCCAGAAGAGCCACTACTATAGATGGGAAGGTCATTGAATCCCATGACCATTCTTCTCTAGTCTTCTTTCACTAGGCTTTCTTCTCTAGTTCATTAATTGTAGTTACAAATACAGTGTTTGATGTCTCCTTTCTCCTCTTTCTTTTAATTGGCTGTCAAGACAAGGCAGAGGTAGCAACCAATCAGCTCTTCATATTAAACAGCATATTTTGCTGAGCCGGACTTGACTCCTGGTTGCTACAAAACAAATCTAAGTTTATATCAGAGGTGACAAACTCCATGCCCTGTCATTTATCCTTTTTATAGCATGGGTGACACCAGCAGTCAGCAAGTCATGTTGATGACTTGTTGATGAATCAACTAAAGCAGAAACCAACCAAATGTAGAGGTTTCCTAAATCAGTAGTTGGAAATGTTTTGTTATTTTAATTAAAAGGGAACTAAATTAAAAGCAAATTCCATTGTTTTTTGGTATAGAAATTTTACTTTTTGGTTATTATAAAATATTTAAAAGACATCCAAAACCTCAGTAAGAAAAGAGATGACCACTTTTAACACTGGAGTACTACTGTAATCACTGTAGGAATATTTTACTTATTATATGTATATATACATACATATAAACTAAATTTTATATATTTCATGACTGCCAAAGGAGTGAGATTTTACTATGTACAAGGTATTGCACTAAATGTGCTTTGAATACTATTTCATTTAAAGCACAACACTGCCATGAGATAAATAACACGAACCCAATTGCATCGTTGAGGAACTGAAGCTCAAACTCAAGATTACATAGCCAAAAAATAGAAATGCCTAGTGTCAAACCCAGATCTGTTAACTCCAGACTTTGATTTTTATTAATCTATGTCTTATCTCAACACCAAATTTCTGTTAGGACAAATAATATCAAATTATATACTTACTTTAGATATAAACCTATGTCTGGTCCTCAAATCTCATTAAAAAATACTTCAAACTACACCTTTTCAAATATAAATATAAAATCTTAGAAGATCTGTTAGGAGTCATTTTGTCTGATACCCAGTATTATAGACCTTTTCCATAGTGCACTGCTGCTCTGCAGTTTCAATCCTGTAATTCACAGGAGATGGGACAGAAAATGAAGAATGAGTCAAAGTATCCCTAAAAACTACCATGTACACTTTTCCATTTCTCAGAGATTGTTCAAACTATTCTAAAATTCATCCAGGATAAGAAGTCTCATTGGAAATGAGGAACCTTTGGCAGGCTTTCAACATACTTGACACAGGTCATGAAATGATAAAGATTTTTTGGTCATTCTCCACCTGGAATGGGTTTGCTCTAGGTGCTGGCTGGTACTGCATGCATAACTCTTGCTCAATGCAGTCACTTTGTAGCTAGGATTCCTTTGGCCTTTGGGAATTCAGCAAACAGAAGCGGGATGGGCAGTAGGAGAAGCAGACTGTCTAAAAGAAGAAATGAATTAAATGATTTTACATTTTTAGCAAAGGGGCTGTGAGTGTAATGATGTGTTCCCACCTCCTCCAGAAGCGCTTCAAAGTTTTATCATCCGAGTCCCTGCAATTCTAAGGACACTGGGATTGAGTTGTTCTTGAAGGAGAAAATGACCTTCAGAAAAGCACTCCTTCAGTGCCCAGTAGATACAAAGCACTGCTGCACATTGCAGTGGGAACAGAAGAAAAAAGATACAGATCAGCGAAATGATAGAAATCTACAAATATGTAAGATTTGCAAGCTATTGACAAATAAACTATTATAAAAAGAGATAAAGGGAGAGATTAATTTTACCTAGGAGCAAGGAGAAGGGCAGAAAGGGACTTTAGGAAGAAGGAGATGTTTGTGGAGTCTTGGGATTTAAGTTCATATGTCCCAATATATTATCTGATAATTAACTAAAATCGTGAAATAAAAATATCCCTAAAGCCAAGTTTCCCGTATTCCTGAAAACCACAGGCACACACTTTCTCAAGAGGCCCACGGGCTCCATTTCAGCAGCACATGGAAGGTTATCACCGGAAGGGGAAGGTAAAATTGAGGGCTAGCATCTTCTGCTTTGGGAAGATGCACTTGTTGGGGGCAATGACAGGGGCCACAGGACAACCTCAAAACTTTGAGGTTCAGCAACTGCAGGGGAGACTGATTCTGAAACAATGGAATCTTGGGGAGAGGGAGGGCAACCTTATTCACCCCCCCCCAATAGCCTAGCACAGTATTTCGCACCCACTAGACAACCATCTGTGGGACTGATTTTAAGCGTTCACTTTCTCCCCATTGGAGGCAATGAAACATTGCCACGTTTTGCTTCTATGAGCTTGGGAGCTCAGTAGTTAGAAAAACAGGAGAAAAAAATAGGGTTATAGAATCCTGCAAGTGGAGCTGTGCAGGGGTATGAGAAAAGAAGGCGAGAGCAACGGAGGGGCTCTAACGCCCACCACGGCTGGCTCCTCTCCTCCCGAAGCCACAGCTCAGCCCCCGCCCCGCCCCCTCTCTCGGTGCCGGATCCCCCAAGCCCGAGGCGAAGGAGCAGGGCCCGCGGAGCGACGGCAGGGCTCTGCCGTCACGTTCGAGCCCTGCTGTTCCGTGAGTCCCCAGCCGCCTCGCCCCTCCTCCCTCAGCCCCAGCCGGGGCTTGGAGGCGATTCCCCTCTAGTGACTGAGCCCGACTGACTGCATCTGGGCGTCTTTGTCTCCTCCTCCCGGCGCAGGGTCTGCAGCAGCCACCGCAGCAGCCGGAGCCCAGGCGTGCCCCGCACGGCCGCCCTGGGCCGCACCCTCACTCGGTGACGGCGCCCCAAGACGCCCGCCGCGCCACGCACTGCCTGCGTCCCGCGCCCAGCCACCTCGCGTCAACGCCGCCGCCGCCGCCGCCGTAGCCCGAGAGCCGAGCCCGCTCTGCCAGCCGGGTCTGGGGTGGGCAGCCGGGTTTGCAGTCGGTTGGAGGTGGCGGCCGCTGCAGCCCTTGGCCGGGCGCACACCGGTAGGCAGACGCACCCAGCGCTTCCTCCCTACGCCACGAGGATGGAGCAGCCGCCCCGGCCCGGGACTGGCGCAAGGTAAGGTGCAGCCGCCTGTTGCTTTTCGCAGAGCGCGGGATCGTCCCTGTGTCCGGGTGCCTAGGCCGCCCCACCCGGAACAGGTAGAAAAGAACTATCACCCCAGTTCTGATCCATGTCTGCCCAAGCCCCGTGGTCGCCTTGGCGCAAACCTTTGGGGAGACCCCGCCTGACGAAGGGGAGTCGACCCTCTCTGCTCCCGTGCAGCAGCCGGCTGCCAGGCACTAGTCTGCAAAGTTTTGTGGACCCCCCTCCACCCCCCGCCTCTTCTTCCCTGTGCGTTGATGGCCCGGCGCCGTGCAAGTTGCTCGCCTAGTTCTCACGTGCACGCTCCCCCACCCGCCTTGCCGTATGCCTCTGCCCGTTTGGCTCTGTGTTCGTACCGGTCGACTTTTCACTCCCTGCAGCTCCCGCTCGAGACCCAGCGGTGCTCATCCTGCCTGTGGGAGCTAGGCAGGAGCAGAGAAGGTGAACTAGGAGAGGTGGGGCGCAGAGGAAGGCAGAGGCCACCCCGGGGCTCTGTCCAGCGCGGTGGGAGTTGGGCCACCCGGGTGCACGCCACCCCCAACTCGGTAATGAAACCCTTGGAGTGGCTGTGGGCTGTGCGCCGGTGGGAACTGCCGGTGCAGATCCGGGTGTGTGTGGGGGGACTAAGTGTTTCGGGGAGGGAAGGGTAGCTAGTGGGGGTGGGAGAAGCTGAGGGTCCTGGCAGATCTGCCCACAGGTGAGGGGGACGAAACGGCTCTGCTCATGTGGGCGAGGGACCCACTCGGAGCGGTCATCTGACAAGGAGGGAATGGGCCAGGAGTCTGGAGGGCGCTGGCCTGGGTGTGTAAATACAGGTGGGGGAGGGGCTGGGTACCTGGCGAGGCTCAGAGACCTGGAATCAAGCCTCGGAATGGTGGGGCGAGGGGCGGGGGAGCTGCGGGGGGGGGGTGCTGGAAAAGAGAAGCTGCTGGGTGCCTGGGATGGGGCTATCTCCCTCCCCAGGAGCAAACCAACCTCCCCTGGAGAATCTGAATGCGCTGGCATCTGGGGCGGTGACTGAACGGTCAGATACTGGACCAGGGATGCTTTTCCTGGCTCTGAGAAGATCACAGCCCCTTCCCTTCTCCCATACGGGCTACACCCGTTCACCTCCGCAGCCCAGTCGGTAGACCCACGCCCACCTTCCCTGTCAGGAGCTTGGAAGTCAAGGATGTCTCCACAGCCGCAGGGAGCGAAGGGGACTCCTGGCCTCCAGGGGGAGACGAGCGAGCCGGGTAGGAGGGTAGTGCCCAGCGCCAGGCGAGTAGGCAGGGGTCCTAGCTGAGGGGGAGCGCAGGGACGGAGGCTGCAGGGGGAGCCCCCGGCTCGCCTCCCACCCCCTCCCTTCCCCGCCCCGCGCCTCTCCACAAATCGCACCTGGGCGGAGCGAAGGAGTGGGGGAGCCCTGCGCCGCGCCGCCGGGGAGGATCCGGAGCTCAGAGCTGGAGGGCGTGCGGGGAAACGCAGCGCTAGGGGGTGTGGACGTCGGGTGAGGGCAGGCTCCGCTCGCAGATTTGGGGCCCCAGGCAGAGGTGGGTCTGTGCGCCTTGCAGCTCCTAGGTGCATCCTTCCTGTCCCAGATGCTTTGGCAGGTGCACTAAGGAGAGGGTCTTTTTTCCTTTTGCGCAGGAGGACAAGACCCTTTGAGGTAGGGGACCTAGCGTGCTGCTGCGAATAAGAGGCAGCCTCCCCGCTTCCAGACTCCAACCCCCGCTTTTCCAGATGGTCGTGGTGGGGGGCACACTGGATTGCCAAGGCCAAAAGGCACCTCACTTAACCCTTCTCTCCCCAAAGAGATACACGCCCCTCTCCAGGTGGAGCCTTGAGTTGAGAGTCGCTGGTTCTTACTTGCCCTATAGAGAAGCAATTGGAGGTCCCCTGGGTGGGGAGCAGGTTTCCAACCTCAGGTACTCTGGGTTCAGGCCCTCTACATACAGGTTTTAAGGAGCACAACCATCTCTCTGCGGGTGCTCGTTAGACGCCTCCTGCTCTCTTGTACCAGCAGAATTCCGTATAGTCCACTTTTCTGGGCTCCACGACTTGGCCAGACCTTCAGGGGAAGTGACCCCACAGAGCTCCTGGGGGTGATCACGAGGCCGATCACTCCTATTCCGGAACATACTTGGAGCAGCGAGCCCCAAGGCACAGCATCGGGGGATTCCCTCCCTGCAGGGTCTGGGTGCAGCGCCCAAGCAGAAAGGCCGCATCCTCTAGGCCAGGTCTCTCCGGTGATGGAGCGCAGGCTTCCTCCGAATTCCGTGGATACCTGAGGTAGGATCCCAGCCCTCAGCCCTTGCTTCATGCCCCCAAATTTAGTTTCTGATGGCCGTTTCTTTTTGGAAATTTCTCGCCTGGGTTTGTGCGCTGTCCACTCCCGTTTGCATGTTGAAACAGGCTCTAACAAGTAGGGACTTGTGGAAGACTCACATCCACACTTAGTTTTCTCAGGTTGCTGCAGAGGTATGGTTGCTGGTGTATATTGAATTTTTACTATGCACCAGGCATAATTCTAGATATCTCAGGGGGTTGTGTTGGTTTCAAGTTATGCAACAATCCTGAAAGATAAGTAAATTAACTTTTCCGATTTTATGGGTGACAATAACAAGCCATGGAGGAATTAAGTTCTTTGCCTATTATTGTCTACTAGTAAGTGGTGAGGTTGATTCCTCTTCTGAGCAGAGATCACTGGGTGCATCCCATGCTCCCAGCCCAATTTGTACTTAGCTCTTTTAGTCCATAAGGAAACATAGGTGAAATCCTGTATAACCCTTTACTCCAAATCCCAGAAACATAAAGATAAGTAAGTGCCTGTCCTTAATTGGGGAGACTGATGTTGCAGAGCACCTGCCTTGGCGTCTGTTGGGTTGCACCTTGGTAAGATGGAATACTAGAGCTGGAAGCTGGTAGAGCATTGGCTAATGGCACTGGGCTTCTCTTCTGAACCTGTTGGTAGATATTCCTTTTTATAAAATACAAGGAGGAATGGGAGGAGGGATCTAAATGTGAACAGACATTTGCTTCAGGGTCAAAAACCAGAAGCAGTTTGAGGTATTACTGTGTATATTCTGCAAATGAGTGCTTCTCTGGAGATTGAATCACAGAATGTTAGGGCTATAAGGGGTCTCAGGTAGCATCCCTCCCAATCCAGACTCCGAGACAAGATTGCATGGTGAGTTCAAGGCCATTCACTGCATTTGCCGCGTAACTAATGCTAGAAGCACTCTCCTTTGACATTTGGTCAAATAAAGTATGTTTATGAATATATAGATTATGTTCACTGCTGCTGTTTTCTACATCTTAAAATTAATTAGGGAAAGGCCTTTTTATTAAAAGCAGAAACTCTCCCCCCCCCCCGAAATTCTTCTCAATCAACATAATCAGAAAAGTCACTATCACATAATAGATCAAGTATCAGCAATATGCCTCTTTAGTAAAAATTGAAGTAGAATATTTATAAGCCTTCAGATCAACACAAATTAACCATGCAACCCTTTCAATGATTCTGAGTAAGACATAATGGACTCCCAATCACTGTAGCAAAGCCTGGTTTAGTAGCTCTGTCCTACCATATTCCCAATTATTTGTGAAAGAAAGAGAAAATGTAGTGCAGCAGAGGGAAAAGCCCCTTTGAGTGTAGTGAACTGCATTGAGGTGTTTTTTTCCTGGATTTCTGATCCTTGGACTAAACTTTATACTGATGTGAATTGGGAGCAAAGCAATATATTTCTTTTTTTTTTTTTTTTTTAAGATTTATGTATTTATTTGAAAGTCAGAGTTACACAGAAAGAGAAGGAGAGGCAGAGAGAGAGAGGTCTTCCATCTGATGGTTCACCCCCAAGTTGGCTGCAATGGCCAGAGCTGTGCTTATCGGAGCCAGGAGCCAGGAGTGTCCTCCAGGTCTTCCCACAAGGGTGCAGGGGCCCAAGCACTTGAGCCATCTTCTACTGCTTTCCCAGGCCACAGCAGAGAGCTAGATCTGAAGTGGAGCAACAGGGACTTGAAGTGGCATCCATAAGTGATGCCAGCACTGCAGGTGGCGGCTTTACCTGCTACGCCACAGTGCTGGCCCCAAAGCAATATACTTCTGGTAGATATACTTAGGGTACAGAAAAGGGGGAAAAATTCTTGGCCACTTCCTCACTCATGGTATCCCTTCATCCAAGAGATTTTGTCCAGACACTAAGGGATTCCATAGACCCCTGGAATTCTGGTTTCTCAGAATATCCCAGGTCTTTTTTGGGTAGCTTCAGTACCAGGAAACTTCCCCTTAGATTTAAAACAATAGGACATCCACTGGAATAAACAGGGGCAGAGAGTGAGAATAGCCTGCTTGGCACCACATCAGGGTGGCAAGAATCACAGGCAGATATGCAAACCTGACGCCTTGGGTGTCCCCTAGAACAAGATCACTCTCCCTAATGCTGTGACACACCACATCAGAGGCCCTTGGGCAGTGTCTGGGGTGAAAGAAGGTAAAGTGACAGGGAGGGAATGGCTTGGCTGAGGAGGGGCCCGCTGTGACAGAAATGCCTTCCGAGAGCAAGCAGGCACTAGAGCGTTTCTTCTTCCCCACTTCCTTTCCTGCCCATGACCTCAATCTTCCATCCATGTCAGGTTGGCTGATCCAAGAGCTCCCAGTTATGTCAGGGGGAAGCATTCGCTTTCTAGAGAAATCTTCGGGAATGAATGTTGTTTTTATGTAAGCAGGAAAAAATTGCAAAGCCACGTCCCTCTTCAGGGAAAGCCACTGGGAAACCCGGTGGTGCAGAGGGGCGACCCTCTGCAGGGGATGCTTTGGTAAGCTGGATTGCAGCATTGTTAAGGAGATGAGAGGTAATATGGAAATCAAGTGAGACAAAAGAAACATTCTCTCTTTGGAAACCACAAGAAGAATACTGTTGGCCATGGGCAGAGCATCCTGGTTTGCAATTCCTCTTTTTGTAGTGGAAGTAGGAGAGTGAATTGTATCTTCATCCTATTTATATGGTAGATGTTCCTGCTCATTGGTTTTCTGTAGCTTCTGTGCAGTGTGGTAACAAAGGACTCACAAACACATTCTTCTGGGACAGATTTTTTGGGGGGTGTGTATCTTAAATCATATAAATATGAGTGTGTTGACATTTAGCGTGTTATATAGATATACATGTCTGTTTATCTTAAATCACATAAATATGAGTGTGTTAACAATTACTCTTTGAGTTGTGTGTTGTGAACAAAGGATATGAAAAGTCTTTAGTCAGAATACAAAGAATAAGTACGTTTGTGCCATACATCATGTGAGTTAAAATTCTCATTTCAGATTAGATATTTAAAAATAAAAAACACTCAAGATCCAGAGCATCTGAACTTGACCCATCTTTAATAACAAGAGAAGTCAAATGATAAGATTGTGTGGAAAGAGTTTGAAAAAATGATGGAAACAAAAAAAGTAAAAACTGGAG